CAGATCTATCATCCGTGGCCTCCACAGGACCTGCTCCAAGACCAGAGTCCATCTTATCTGGTCAATTTTATTTGTATATAGCTAGTCTATTCCTCAAAATGACCATCTTCACAATGAATCCCAGAACCAATCCTTGCAGAAAGGCTGTGGTTAGCTGAAGCAAGGCTAATGAAGGCTATTAGTAGATGCAATAAGGGTGGCGGAATACTCATGTTTTGCTGCTCTTACCATTACAGGCTCTAATAGTAGCTCTATCTCATATTGAGTGCATTTGCTCCTTGTCATTTGTCAGCAGCACTCTAAATTCTTCTCCTGTTACCTATCCCTTAGCTTTGGCACAGTGGTTAGAGTGCAGTATTGCAGGCTGACTCTTCCCATTGTCACAAATTTGATCCTGACTGGCTCAAAGCTGATTCAGTTCTCCATTCTTCCAAGGTTGGTAAAATGAGGACCCAGATGCTGACTCTGTAAACTGCTTACGACATGCTATAAAGCACTATGGAGCAGTATATAAATCTAACTGCTATTGCTATTTTCCATAAACCAGGGGGAGTTCTGAGATCCCTGGGAGAGGAAATGATGCTCTGAAACAATGTGATCCAAAGTCTCAGCTGACCTCTGATTCCAGGTGACTACAAAATCTTCATTCAGACCATGACACAGACTTTCTGGAACAACCTGAAGCTCCCTCTAAATCAGGCATGTCAAACTCCGACGTCACGTGATGTCGCGCAATGTATCGGGCCGGTTTTGCCATTGCTGGCAATGGGGTGGGTGCGGCTTCCATGCGGCGCATCTGGCCCATGGGCCGGCAGTTTGACACCCCTGCTCTAAATCCATTTGGGTCTATTAGTTGCCTGGGATGGACCAATCTAATAGAACTAACTTCCCTGTAGTGAGAGGACAGGTGATGCCAGAGAACTGCAAGATTACTAGGAAGTGATCTGACTATGATAGAATAGAAACCACTAACTCCCTCAAAATCAAGTTATCTTGTTACTTGCTCTCACAATAAAAAGGGTTCTGAATGACCTGAGACAGGCCCATGGCTATCATGGTGGCCATAAACTCTCAAGATACCTCTGATCCAAACAAGGCAGCTTAAGGGTTCCCAAGACCATAAACTTGGGGACCTTCACAGCCAGCCTGGCCACAGAGTCAGGCAGAGATTGCCCTGCAATAGAGAGGCTGGTACAATAGCAACAATCCCAAAACATGATAAAAAATTATCAGAACATGATGTGCTATTATAGAGTTGTAGACCATAAACAATATCAAGGGTATGGATGGGAGGCTATGTTACTAACTCCTGAAACAATATACTAAGAATTTGCATAGCTTTTACACCATGGGCTGCATTGCTGTTTATTTCGTCTCTCTTTCATGAGCCTTAACATCTCTTTCCCCATAGACTTAGGTTTTAGGAGTTGACCTATTTTTTATTTACTTGCTTGATATATGATTTAGTGATCAGCCTGGACCTATTTCAGCTGGAAATATATAACCAGAAAGAAGGGAGTAAACTTATCTTAGCTCTCCCAATAATCCTGTAAATATCTGGAGGCAAATTTGTGCTATTTATGGCAGTGTTTGCTGCTTCTATTAAATGCTTCTTGTTTAATTTTTAATTGTCATTTTGGTTAATTCAATTTCATGTATGGTATTTCAAAGAGAACCAAGTTATACAATTGTTCTATCTTTCAGTCATCTTATCCCTGACTCTCTGCGACTGATGAGCATCATTTCACCAGGAGTATCTATGAGTAACTACTTCTTTCTTTCTTTTCTTTTAAGTTCATTTGTCATCATTCCTAGCTACCTTATTTTTGTCAGCTTTTTTTCCCCAATCACCTTTCCAACCATCACAGTTTTTTCATTATCTATCCAAAAATATTTAAGGTTAGTCTTAATTATTAATGCTTTCAATGAGTCATCAGGCTTTACTTCATCTAATATTGAATGATTTGTACTTCTTGTGGTTTAAAATAATCTCAAAAAATTTCTCTAATGATACAATTCAAGACCATCAATTTTATTTTTTGTTAATCTGGAGACCTTTCTGATGGCCAAATTTTCACACCCATGTTACAACTAAAAAACTACCTTGAAAATAAATATCTTAGTTGTCACTGTGTTCTCTCTATGTTTTAATATTTAGTCTACATTTGGCATAGTCTTTCTCCAAAATAGCAGATATTTATTTTATGGTTCCAGTCTCCATCCCTGTGAATTTTTTTGAACCTGCACACAAGTTTCATTCCTTCCTTTAAGTATGACTTTCCTTTAAGGCATGTTGTATAAATATTCAGAAGCTGCTGCCTACCCAGATCTGACTTTTCTCTCTCTTGGATGTGTACTTCTGTTGAGTATCATCATGAGAAATAAGGCAATTTCCAGCATTCTATGTAATTCCATCATTTTTAGAGTAAGAAACACAAGCCAGGTACAAAAATGGAGGCAAAGACTGATATACTTCTGTGTGGTTGAAGCAAGTATAAACTTGCTGGCTATGAGAATCAAAGAGTCCCTATGTTACATTTGCCCATATGAGACAAAGGTGCATTATCAGACATCCTGGGACTGCTAGTAGCTTGGGTATAGTCTTGAACTTTTAAATAGTAACATTTAAAATCATAGCAGGGGAAACTTATTAGCAATATATCTGGAAAATTAACATATTAATTAATTTAATTAGAAGAAAATTATGTTCAAATTTAGTTTTGCTAGTATATATAGTTCTTCCCCATGAAAATCTGCTAGCTGTTGCAAGGGTTCAACATTACAGTGAGAGTAAAAGGGATTAATTTCATATTTGCATGAATTCACGAGGGACGAGGAAAAGGACAATTAATTTTGCTGCTTTTCTCAGGCAAACATGCATTTTTGTATGAAGATGGAAGCTTCTCCCTCACCACTTACAGATACTCCTACACAGACCAGCCCATCGGGGGTGTAAGTTTTCTTTTTAAAACTCCTTCTGTGTCACTTTTGTAATGAATGAATTAAATATTTTTAAATTTTGTTTTTGAACATAGCTAGATCTCACTGATATGTAATCTGTGCAATGACATTTTAGGTGTGTGTGTGTCGTGTCAGATTCAAAACCCATCCCTTTTGTAAAAATGCTATTGCATGCACACATTCAGGGGTGGGGCTTGGATTGTGGCATTGGGGGTACTAAAGGTACTTTTTTTTCCCCCAGGAGGCAACTGGACTGCCTTGCTTTTCCACTCCCCACCATCTAGTCAGAGCTGAAGAATAGATGAGAAGCAAAATGTCTTCAAAGAAAAACAAGAAAGTCCAGTTGCCCCCTGGAGGAAAAAAAGCACCTTTGGGATAACCATACCTGGATGACTGAGAACCTCCATAGACATTGGGGGTACTATTTTGCCTATTTTGCCCCCCTGCAAATGCCACTAAACCTGTACTTGACAAAAACATTTTTTCTAGAATGGGCTATTTTATGAATAGTTAAAACCATAACAAATAAATGTTTATAGATTTCTTCAGCAGAGCATGCTTTATTCATATAAAAAGCCAGCACTGCTCTATTTTCCCAGCATTAAATTAAAAAAAAAATGCCCAGGAAAAGATTGGTATGTTCACTACTTTGCTGGTGCTGAAGTTAACCTGTCCCCCTTGTATTTTAAAGGCAGCTATTCTCTGTACATCAAAACAACTCTAGTATTGATTATGCAAAAAAGAGTATCACGTTATCGGGACTGGAGAAAGGATGAGAAATGGCACAAAAGATAAAATTGACTGGAACATACTTTATTTCAGATTACTAATACTTTCATAATCATTAATAAGTAGCTATTAAAAAAATATCAACCATATTAATGAGATGGTCTTTCTGTAGTTTTATAGCCTTTATTTGTTAAGTTCTAAGAAATGTGGGAAATTTATGTTCCTAAATGTTTTGCTGTCTGAATAACATGGAGAAATGAAGTATATATCTAGAAGATATTTAAAAAGGAAGAGAATGTTGTGAATGGTACTTAAGCAACATCTGCAGCACTATACCCTCCAATCAAGATATAAAAGTTTGTGTGATGCTCTCCATATATATTTAGAATAGAATAGAGCTGGAAGGGACCTTGGAGGTCTTCTAGTCCAGTCCTCTGCTAAAGCAGGAGAACCTATACCATCTCAGAAAAGTGACTGTCTAGCCTCTTTTTAAAAATCTCCAGTGATGGAGTGCCCACGATTTCTGGGAGCAAGCTATTCCACTGGTTAATTGTCCTCACTATTAGGAAATTTCTTCTTAATTCCAGGTTGCTTCTCTTTTTGATCAGTTTCCAACCATTGTTTCTTGTCCTGCCCTCTGGTGCTTGGTGATCCCTCTTCTTTGTGGCAGCCCCTCAAATACTGGAATACTGTTATCATGTCTCCCCTATTTCTTCTTTTCTTTAGACTAGCCAAACCCAAACCCAAGTCTTGCAGCCGTTCTTTGTTTTAGTCTCCAGGCCTTTGATCATCTTAATTCATATATTTATTCTGCTAACCCATGGTTACCCTCACTGTGCAACTCAGGTGGCTAAATTTGGCTTATAGCAACATCTTTCCTATGGTCCATTAAAATGGCAGCATTCCAATTATCCACTAGATCAGTGGTTCTCAACCTTTTTAATGCCGTGACCCCCAACCAGTCGTAAGTCGAGGACTACTCAACCAGTCGTAAGTCGAGGACTACTCAACTGGTGCAGCACCGTGTGCAGAATGGGACTTTTGGTGGGCTCAGCAGGGCAGAGACAGCCTGGACAATTCCTATTGGCTTTTGAAAGCCAATAGAATTAGACTCTATTCAAGAGAGTCTATTCTATTGGCTTTCAAAAGCGAATAGAATAAAAGGGAGTACACAGCTAAGGGGAAAAAAATGGCGGACTGTGTTGTATGGCGACCCCCGTGAAATCGTCGTTTGACCCCAAATGGGGTCCCGACCCACAGGTTGAGAACCACTGCACTAGATTCACTCAAGCACAGTAAAAATTGAGAATGGAGAAAATAGTTTTTTCTTTTCTTTTAATTTGATTCTTACTATGGGAGGTTGGACATCCTAGTCATTCTGCTCTTTTCCTTATCTTCATGAATCAGTGATGCATCCAAAGGGTCTCATCTCAGTTCATCTTTTTTCAGAGAGGCACAGGTGCTAAGGAAGTAGTTACTAATTGGCATTAGAAATCAAGTTGTATCAGTTTCCAGCTGTAAATACAGGTAGTCCTCGACTTATGACCACAACTGAGCCTGGAATTGAGCTGCGGCATCCTTGCAATTGGTGGTAAGGGTGGGCAAATTGCCAAGAGCCCAAATTTTGCTCATGTGACCACAGTACCTGTAGTAACAAAATGATAGCACCTAGTTTCAAAGCCAACACTAGCTAATAATGGACCAATATTAGTGGACCAATATTTAAGTTTGTGGCAAAATGGCATATTAAAAGTGTGATTTTAAAACCAATTTGCAGCTGTATTCCGAGACTACTGTGTTACTGCCAGGCCATCTGATGCAAGGCAATGATAGAGTAGACAGATCCATTGATTGCTTTAGTGTACTTTGCCAACAGCTGCTGTGTATAAATCACATGATTTCCTGAGAAACGCTGAATGCCAGCTTTGATTTACATTTTGAGAATATAACATTTTTGAGATACCCAGTTACAAATGTTAGATAGCAGAAGAGAGCCGGAGAACACATACAAGCAATTATTTCTTTCCAAGATAATTATTCCAATGTTTTCCTAGAAAAACAGGCCTCATATTACATAGATAGCACAATTTTGCTCTTATTGAAATTGCATCTTAAATGTTGACATGTTACTCCAGTTTTGTTCTCTTGCTCCATTGTCTATCTTGGTCTCTGAATGTTAAATGTAATCATGTATTGCAATTTTAACTGAACATTCTACTTAGAACAAAAAATGTATGGCAAAGCAATACTACACTGTGATTTCTTCATGCACCCAATTTTTTGTTTTGTACCACTAGTGGGGAACACAGAGAATAACTGCCTTGCTAAGTGCATCATAAATCATATAGGACTGAAGTCTATATGGCTGTCTTGCATTTACTTTGGGAATTATTCATATAACACATGGAGGGCATCAGTTCCATTACACTGTATTCCACCATGACATCATGGGTATTGAAGTAGAATATATCTGAAGCATACCAGCTTGGGGAACTGTTTCAATATGTCTCTTTGCAAAATGGTCTGTTGTGAGGCAAAAAAATGTAGGAGCTCACCTGAAAGCATTTTATTACTATATATATTGGGTCATTGAACTAATTATTTGTATAATCACTTCTGGAATCAATAGACTGCCTTCCCCCATCCCCACTGATGCTTAGTTTGAGGCATTTGGTTTGGGGAAGACTTGAAGGAGATTTGCACAACAGAAATAACTAGAATCTTTAGAAAAATAATAGGGAACATATATGGAAAGCATGTTTTTCTCCTGAACAAACTTCAGGAGAAACAGGAAAAAAATACACAACAACACCAAGCCATCTGGGGCCTTTTTCCCCTGCAGAAATAGTTGAACATTATTGCATTCTACATGCACTCGCTGTTCCCTCCCTGGTCTTCTGTGCTACACTGCTCACAAGTAGGACACTGTCTTGCCTGGGCTTCCAGCTGCTGATTGCTTTGATTTCTGTGGAGAAAATGCAATCCTTGTCTTCTTTCAAAGACAGGGAATAGCGTCCTTTCCTCCAGGGATTGAAGGGGGGGGGGGAGAGAGGATCGTGGCTTTGGTGTTTGCTTGAGCTACATCTCTCATAATACAGATGTGCCTGACCACAAGCATCCTCAAAAGTCACGATTTTTTTTTTAAATCCCAGAGGTAAAGATGTCTCGACCTCTGCCAGACAGCAGCTCCTCATTAAGGGGACTTTCCGGGCTTCAGAGGAAAGATCACGGGGCTACGTGGTGGTGGGTCCAATCTTTGCTTCCAGGAGAAAAACGGTTTTGGGTCGCTGTGTCCTTACGGTATTTATCTACGTATCCATCTCGACCCAAGATCTAAATGTGCCCTCTCGGCCGTCCGGGTAAGGAGGTCGCTGTTGCCTCGAGGATCCGAGCGGCCCCTCGGGCGCCTCACTCCGCCTTTTGTTCCCAGACCATGCGCGTCACCGTCTTCGCAGCTGGGCGGGGATACCGACGACGAGGAGGAGGAGGCCAACAGAGGAACTGTTGCTGCTTGTGGGGCGGTGGAGACGAGCATCATCGCGGCGCGGCGGCGACGGATTAACGGCCAGCCTAATCTGATTTCGTCCTCCGAACTGAGCGAGCCTCTCCTGTTGGCGAGCCCGTTGGAACAGCTTGAGCCATCAGGGGACCCAGCGCGGAAACGGGGGAGGCGGCTTTCCGGCCGGATCATGAGCGATTCCAGCCCCAGACGGCTCCGGAGGGGCCAGTGAGGAGCCGTCCGGGGATGGCAGCGCCGTGCGAGGAGGATTCCAGCCAGCGTCTCGCCTCTGCCCCAGCGCCGCTGCCTCCCGCGCAGCCCGAGAGGAAGAAGCTGCATCGGGCGCCGTCCCCGGCCAGACCCAAGGATGTGCCCGGGTGGTCGCTGGCCAAGAGCCGGCGCGGCAGCCACCCCGGCTCGCCCGTTTTCTTCCCCGGCAAGTCAGGAGCGGGCGGTGGACACCCGCGCCGGGCTGGGAGCGCCAAGGATGGCCGCGGCGAGAAGAAGGGCAAGGCCACGCCGCCGATCGGGTCGCGGGGCGCCGGGAAGGGCTCGGGAGGCCGAGCCGGGGCGAGAGCGAAGGGGCGGAGCCGTCTCCCCGGAGCTGGTGAGGGGGCAGCTGCCTCCGGCGGGGCCGGAAAGGTGCCGTCGGCGCGCTCCCAGCCGCCGCCTGCCTCGAGCCTGACAGACAGCAGTTCGGAGGTGTCGGACTGCAGCGCCTCGGAGGAAGCGAAGGTCCTCTCGCTGCTGGAGCTGGGCGGGCTGAGCGGCGGCGGCAGCAGCGACACCGAGTCCCCACCCAGCAGCAGCGCCCCTGCCCAGCCGGCCAGCGCCTCCGCCGATGGCGTATCCCCGCTGCCCGAGGACCTGTCGACGGGGGCCTCGCTGGCCAGTAGCCGCCTCCCTCTCAGCACCTCGCTGGCTTTCTCCGACCTCACCGAGGAGCTGCTGGACGCCGGAGTCGCCAGGGAGTTGGAGGAGCTGCGCTCCGAGAACGACTATCTCAAGGTGAGCGGGATCCGGTTTGAGGACAGCCTGGCCCGAAAGAGCAGGCACGAGGCTGTTTTTTGCACGCCCAGGCCTCCGGGAGCCACCGAGCAGCAGCCGCTCAGACCTAGGAAGTCTTTGTAAAAGAGGCACGCCCCTTTCCTCAAAAGATGCCCCCTGGGTAGAAACTAATATCTGGCCTCCCGTAATACATACTGTATGTGGAACAATAGTCTCTATCAGCATTTCTCAACCTTGGCCACTTGAAGAGGTATGGACTTCAATTCCCAGAATTCCCCAGCCAGCATAGCTGGCTGGGGAAATTCTGGGAGTTGAAGTCCATACCTCTTCAAGTGGCCAAGGTTGAGAAACACTGCACTGTCTAACTTGTAGAATGTCTTTCCCCAACGCGGTGCTCTCAAGATGTGCTGAGGCTGCTGTAACAGCTGGGCAAGTCTGAAGCCTTGAAAGAGGCAAGCCCAGCAGGTCTAAGGACAACTCACCCGGCCAACTCCCCGTTGGACAATTTCACACGGGATAACTGGAATTAAGTGAATCAAGAAATACAAGAGTTACAGTAAGAAATGGTGGAACAGAATCATTAAAGAAAGGATGGTAAAGGAGGGAGAAAATGAAATGTGAATGAAAAAAAATAGTCAAAAGAAACAGTGGCAGATAAAAGTACAGTTATCTCACGTTTGGTTATCCTGCTTTGAGTTGTCCCATTGGCAACTTGGCCAGGGTGAGTCATCCATTTGTCGAGTTGTCCCATTCTGAGGCCATGTGGTGCACTCTAGACTAGAGAGTACCACACTGGTGAAAGCTGCCCTAGAGGGAAGCCCTAGAAACATTTTACCAGTGGAGGACAGCTTTGCTGCTTATAGAGAGCATGACCCCTTAGTGTTGTTAAGACATTTACTGCTAGAAGCCTTGTGTGCAGCCTCCCTACACCTCCCCTTCCAATCCTGGAGCAAAAATGGGTCATTGTTGGAATGGTCCTTTCTATTTTGAAGCAGGTAGTCATCAAAATCTATGGACCAGGAATGCCATGTACTTTGGCAAGATTTGTTGCCATGCTGAATTCTTTAGCCCTTTCATTGATGAGTCTGGCTTTACTTGAACAGACACTCCTAATAAAAGAAATGTTCACCTTTGTAGAATGTTAGTTATGCAGGACATACATCTTACAACCCTAAATATATCCGCCAGCATCCTAAAGTTCCTAATTTATATTCTTTTGCCCCAGGAGCATACAGACTCCATATTTAAAATATATGCATGCTTTCAAAATATTTTTTTTTCTCCTAATTCTCTTTTGGTTGACTGAAACATGTTCTACAGTACAATCTCTATCAATCTTTGGATGTGTCCACAACTACAATGTCCAGAATTTGAAACTTTTTTCAACTTATTTCCAAAAAACATTGAGAAGGCATTGACTTTGTTATGTTAGTTATTAGAAATAAATTATTATATTGATAAGTTGCCTTATAACCACAGTTCTCTGGGTAATTTGTAGATTTATTCTTATATAGATGTCTGTTCTTTCTTAGAAACAAAAAGAAAAACGTCCCTAGTCATATTTAATGGAAGGAATCATACCTCTAACATTGCAGACATTCCATGCAATGAACAGATACCTCTTACTGACATAAGAGTTTTCCCTCTATAGCATCTTAGAGTTGCATTATATATTCATTATTCCATCAGTCAGATATACCATATCCTTAAGGAAGGCAGCCTTTCTTATGGAACTGGAATTAACTTCTCACATTTCATTTCAGTGCTTCAAGAATAGGAGACTGTTCAGGTCTACTAAGCAAAGATCTCTTACGATATATTAGAGCTTGTTAGAGGTTATTTATCTCCATGGGAAGCTGCTTCCCTATGGCAATCCCATATTAAAATCCTAACATCATACCATCAGATTCTGATTGCGCAGAGGGTTTTTTACAGGATGATTAGGTGCTGTCAGGGTAGTATGGCATTAAGGTAGAGCAGAAGGGTAATTTTTATAACAAGCAGCTTTAGTTGTGCTGAAGGACAAGAATTTGTTCAGAATTGTGGTTTGGTATGTGTATTTTATGACTTGTTTTTTATTTTGAGTCCAATTTGATTCCTGGTAACTATGTTTGTTTGTTTGTTTACTTATTTATCTATCTTTCTATCTCCTGCCTTGTTTTCTATAAATAACTCAAAGCAGTGAACATACTTAATACTTTCTTCTCCTATTTTCCCTGCAACAACAAAGAGTCTGCAAGGTGGGTAGGGCTGAGAGAAACTGAGAAACTGGCTGGATCACAATCACCCAAATGTCTTTTATGCCTAAGCAGGGACTAGAACTCACAGTCTCATGTTTTTTAGCCTGATGCCTTAATCACTAGACTAAACTAGTCCATACAGTTTTCTAAGCAACATTTTCAGAAGTTGTTTGCAGTTGCCTTATTGCTAAGGCTGCTAGAAAGTGACTGGTCAAGCTTATCCAATTTGTTTCTGTGCTTAAGTTACAACTAAAACTCAGGTTTCTCCAATCCCAGTCCAGAGCCTTAACCATTGGACCAGACTGGCTTCCTAATACATAAGCTTAAAATACCTTAAATGGAAAAATATATGATCTTGGCAGACATATCCCTGAAATGTGCCAAGGTAATGACAATGCCAAGAGTGAGAGGCCATTTTCAGGGGAGAAATGATAGAGATGTATAGTCATCTCATGTCCATTGGTTCTCTCCCTCCCATTGAGAATTTTTTTTTGCTATCTCTAAAATAGGTTTCCTTCATTTAATGGGGGAGAATAGTGCTCCTGACTACGTACTCTCATAGAGTATATGAGCAATAAGAAGTACACTTAATAATTGTGTCCAGGATTTCAGAACTGATTTCCAAAGGCTGTTTGGAGTGGACAGGAACATGGAAGTAAGACCTTTCTGCAGCTTTTTAAAGCAGCTGCATCTTTTCCTGAGATTGCATAGCTACAATTTCTGAAGGCAACACAGGATGCATTGCCTTAACATATATTGCACATAGCATGTTGTGTTTCATATTCACAATAGAGAAAGACATCTATATTCCAGCAAAAGTTGTTCACTGTGTGTTCCATTCTACTGACTGAGTTAAATTAATTGTATGGAAAGCTTCTTTGCTGATATGCCCCTAGAGTGGTTTACACACTTTGCTGGAGTACTATTTGAATAATGTAAGAATATTGCTTGTTAGGAAACCCTGCAGTTTGTGAAAGAGAGGGAATGGGGGAGTAATTGGGTTGTTGCCAGATTCAGTTGCTTCTCTAAGCTATTACTACTGAGCAGTGATGATTTTATTTTTCAGGATGGGGTTGGCATGGTAACAGTAGTATATATTTCCTGAATGGCTGCATGTGACTCCCAGCTTAGAGCGTCTGTTAGATCCCTAGAAAAGGCAGGGATTCTTACTGCCTCTGTATATACAGATTTCTGAAATACAGATTTCTGATAGAAAGAGTTCTGTAAGTATAGAATTATATAATTAAAATAATTACATGTGTATATACATATAGTAATTATTTTTTTGCTTTTTTGCACTATGCATTCAATGCATTTTTGTTTGAAAAAAGTGTGAACATTTCTTGGATACTGAAAAAAAATCTTGGTCTAAGCCATTGGCTCAAAGATACCCTTGTTCATTTTAGGGGGGATATGCTTACCACTGTTCACTATTCTCTTCTCTGGAACAGTGTTCCCCTGATGTCACACAGGCACTGATCCTGTTAGCTTTTTGTGAGGCAATTAAGTGCTTGAAGAAGCCATTTTAGTCTCTCCTGATAAGGAAGGGTTCATGAATGTTCCATAGTGCTGGATTTTTTTTATTCCAAAGTTATTATATTATATTATTATATCATGTTATTGATTTTTAGTGCTATTACTATTTTGGAGGTAAGATTCTCAGAAGTAGATCTGATCAGAGTGTGAAACAAGATTAGTACAATAAAAATAAATACAATATTTTGCATCTCGTTTATTATAGCAGTTCTTAGAATTCTAGAATAAAAATACAAATTAATTGGTGGATACCTGAAGTCTCCTACTCATGATCCACATTAATATTGTACTTGTCAAACATGCAGGCTGAGGAAGACAGCAGAACTCAGTTTCCAACGTCATCTAATACAGGTGTTCCTCCAGGTATCCATGAATATCATTTATTTCTGTAAGGAGGACGAGGTTTGTGTCAGATGCAGCCTTCATTAAACAAGGTTGTGATGTTAGATGTCCTGGAGGCCTTCATGGCTGCACACACAAAGACTCCATTCTGCTAATGCAAAGATGTGTGCATCTGTGTCAGATGAATGGTATCATGGATGCTTTCTGTCTGTCTCTCCACCCTCTCTCACTTCCTCCCAATGCCCCTTCTAATAATCTTCTGGATACCTAAACAGAGTTTTGTTTTCATAAAAGAAGCTGCAGACAATTGAAATTGACTAAGGAACATAGGAACAGTTGCTAAAGAAAAATAAAAAGTAACTCCTTGGGAGATTGACATAGAGGACTGAGAAGTCTAGTTTGACTGACGAGAGAATTTTTAACATTTATTTAGAGTATACAGAATACAAAATAACAGAGTTGGAGGGGACCTTGAATGTCTTCTAGTCCAGGGGTCCTTAACCCCGGGTCCATGGACCAGTACTGGGCCACAGCATGCCAGCAACTGGGCTGCACAAACAAGCAAAGCCCCATCTGGGGGATGCAGGCAGCACACAAATCCACACACCCTCTGGTCCGCGTAAAAACCTCTCTCCGTGGAACTTGTCTAGTCCAACCCCATGCTCAGATAGATAGTTGTTCACTCTCTTCTTAAAAACTTCCAGTGTTGGAGCATTCACAACTTCTGAAGGCAAGTTTTCCCCCTGATTGATTGTCTGTCAGGAAATTTTTCCTTTGTTTTGTGTTGCTTCTCTCCTTAATTAGTTTCCATCCACTGCTTCTTGTCCTGCTTTCAGGAAGCAATGGATGGAAACTAATTAAGGAGAGAAGCCTATTGGTATA